ATATATTTTTATTATATTTATAATCCCTCCCCTGTCTGCTTCCCACATTATGCTGACCATTGGATTTCACAAATATAAAATAAATAAATTTGTATCCCCAAATGCCCTTCAGTATGAGCTTATCCACTGGCACCTGGTTAACCTACCCAGAGTCACATCTTCTCTCCTCTCCTTGCAGCTATCAGTTGCCAAATGTTCCTCAGCTACAATGAAGGATTTTTCCTTACTTCCCAAATTCTATGCTGGGATTTTATCTGGCTTAAGCTTAGATGGGGCTTGTGCATTCTGTCACCATTACTATGAGTTCACATGAGTAACTTCCCAGTTGTCTAGAAAACTCTGTTTTCCTGTGGTCATCTACAACCTCGGACTCTTAGAATCTTTCTGCTCCCTCTTCCACAATGATCCCTGAACTGTGTGAGGCAGAAGTTTAGGTTAATTTTTTTTGTAATTCTCTACACTTTTTCTGTAATTTGTTTATTCTTTAGACTTTCATACATGTATATATACATTGTGATCATTTCCACCACCCATATCTCCCTCCAATGCCTCTGCATCCCCTCCAACAAATTCTTCTCCCAACTTCATATCTTCTTTGTTTAATTTTGTTTATTTTTATTATGTTTATGCATTTGTGTTGGTATGCATATGTGAGCAAATGTGCCTGCAGAGGTGAGAAGAAGGTGTCATAGCCCCTGGAGCTGGAGTTATAAGCAGTTGTAAGACAACTGATATGGGCACTGGGAACTGAGCTCTCATCCTCTTCAAGAGCAAAACATGCTCTCACCTGATGGACCATCTTTTCAGCTTCCCTGCTTTCTTTTGATAACCTAATAACTATTATTACTGCTCATATAAAATGGAGTCACAAACTTCTCTTAATTTATATCTGGAATGTTCTGAACCCCAATAGAGGATATGTTAAAGTCTTGTTCCTCAAAGGAATTATGGCCAGAAGTAGGAGCTTGGCAGACAATTATATCATGATGATACTCATATCATCAATGAGTTAATCCATCCATAGATTCATAAATTAAGGGTTTTGGGGTGATGGAAGAAAACTTAGTGAGGCCTTCTTAAAGGAAAGTCAGTGGGATTCAGCTTTTTTTAGTGTGTACTCTGTTCCTGGTTTTGGTTTCAGGCTCTGGTTCTCTTTGCTTCAAGGCTACTAAAGCTGTCAGCTTTACTCTGTCATGTTCCTTTCAACATGGTCTTCCTTAGCTTGCCCCACAAATACCAAAGCCAAGTGACCATGAACTGAGACCTCTGAAAACTTGAGCTGAAACAAATCTTTACTCCTCAGAGTTGACAAGATAACTCAGCAAGTAAGGGTTCTTTCTGCCAAGTCTGACTATCTCAGTTCAATCCCATATGATAGAAAGAGAACACTGATGCATGGAGACTATCCTGACTTTTGTACACATGCCTTAGCACATGTGTACACACACACTTAACCACCCAAAACACACAACCATACAAAGTAAATAAGCATAAACAAAATCTTAATCCTTTAAGTTGACTTTATTTTTTATTTTTCACTGAAATTGAAAAGTGACAACACAGAGGCTATATTACTAGCCAACCTAATAACTGTAATTGTTAACCACAATTTTTTGGTACTAGTGCTCTTACTTCCATGTAATTCCAAACTAAGTAACTGGAAATTCTCAAATTTAATTTCTTTATGACTACTTATTAAATTATAAATGCTGAACTATATAAAGTAATAAAATGTTCATTGAACAGATATCTTCATACTCCATACTGACACAATTAAAGGCAGGGGCTGTAACTCAGTGATACCGTACTTGGCTCACACACATGATACATTGATACATTTGTTTCAATCCTGGATGTTTCTAGAAAGGAGTAAACAATTAGTATATTATATATTTTTAAAAATATTCAAGCAAATTATTGCAATAAATAAACACCCCAGGAACCAATACTTACAGATTTCCCAGAAAAATGATCCTTGGTTTCTGCTGCAGATTTTTTCCAGAATGTCTAACGGACATAAAATCCATGAATATTCAAGCCCATTACATAAAATGGCATAGCATTTGCATATAACCTACACATAAGCTCTTGTTTACTGTTAACTGTCTCCAAGTTGCTTATAATAGTTAATGAAAGGAAACTATTGTGCCAATAATTGTTATTCTATAATATATATGGAACAATGACTTAAATTCTGTATAAGCTCACATGATTAAAGTCAGTGAAAACTTCAATAAAGCCAATTCAGATAGGATGATCAGTGGACTAGAACAATCAGAAATGAGCATTTAAATTCTCACATGGGGTAAAGAATATTGAGGAAATGAGGTACTTGCTAAAAGAAAATGGTTAAGGATTCTATATTAGAGTAATATTATAAATACCATCTCTAACTTGATAATTTCAGAAATGAATAATGCTAACCCCATGAGTGTGTATATTGAAATATTAATTTGTCTCTTTTCCTATATTTTATTATCATGTTACTTAAGCTGTATTGACATTATTACACATTTAGAAACTGGTAATTTTATGCCATAGTATTTAAGTTGCTCTGTATCAAGAAGAGTAAACCTCCTAGAAGGTCTTTGCTTCCTGTTTGGAGCACAGAGTTAGTATATTTTTAGTTATATGGAGTTTGGCTGCATTATGCTAGCTCAAATAATATAGTGTGTGATTACCTTTCTTTTCAAATTAGTTGTGATATAAAGTCATAGATATGAATGTGAAGTAGATAACAGGAGGGTTTAGGATAGATAATTTCATGCATCTATAATGAGACTTTTTGATAAAGAGTTGATTATTTGGATTGACTAAATAAATATTTACTTGGTCTTCCAAAATCTGGGTGGGAATTGTACTGTTGACTGAGTTCTGAATAAAACTGAAAGGTAAAAACAGGTGGTTTCATCACCACCTGTTACTATTGACATTCTCTTGACATTGGCACCCCTGCATCTCGGGTCATTAGACTCAGAATGGAATATATACTCTATGTAATCATACCCTCTAGGCTTTGAACTAATCTAAAGACGTACCTTTGTATTGGTGGAGTAAATTATAGAACTTGTAGTTCTTTGAAACTGTGTAGGTAACATATAATAAATCTCTGCATAGATAAATGGGAAGGTGGATAGAGTACACCTCTAAATGCATATACATACATAGATAGATATATTATTTGTTCAGTTCTCTGATGAACCACCACTAATATTTAAATTTAATGAAATATATTGCTCTTGATAAGTAGAAAGAAATAATAACTATTTATTAATTACTGTCTTTGAATAGATTTCATACAGAATGCCTATTTTCAAAAAAGATAGATGAAACATTCTTAGACTAAGTAAACATCTTATATATGAACCTACTTTGAGAAATATGCTTCAAAAATTGACCTTGACAATGAATTTCTTGCAGTGGAAGCTGGCTCCATCCATTAATCATAATGAAATGAGACTGTGGAATTTGATTGGCTTATATCACTGTCACTCTTAGGTATCATGTCTATGTTGACTAAAAAATGAGCAGCAGATCTCAGCTCCAACACGACTTTTATCCTCTCAATACCAATGTCAATGACCCATCCCCACAAATGCTACTTAGCCAAAAAACTATGCTCCTCAGCTGCATATGTTGCAAGGTTTATCTCTGCCATCTTGCTGATCATTTCTTCCTTCCTAAATATTTCTATGACATGATTCTCAGGAGTAAAACTCTGATTAAATCATATCCCTCTTGAAGGAGACTTAATGGGATATTGTCACTACTGTGTAATATATAGAGATGTAAAGATATGCATGTGTATATATTCATGTGAATTTAGTGTATATATGATATGAGTTCATCTAGTGTTCGATTGTCTTTATATGTTGCTTTACTTCATCTAGTATTTGCTTACTGTGACATTATTTGAAGTCCTTTTTAGAAAATTTAAAAGTTTGGTTTATAGCATAACGTTATTGGAAGATTCCAGAAAATTTAATGGTGGGAGTGAGTCTGAGGTTTTGTCACTAGGAACATGTCCTTGCCTGGAGGAGAACCCTGATCCTTTTCTCTTTCCTTTCTTAGTATTATGGACATGGGGTGAAAAGGTTTACTCCACAGTTAAGTTCTACCATAACGTGTGTTATTTAACATGAGCCTAAAATAATTGGGACACTCAATCATATATTAAAAACTACAAACTGTGAGCAGCCCCCTTTTCTCTTAATAACTTCATTGATTTCAGCCATTTGATACACAAATGGAAGGCTGACTGATCAACTTCCCCAAATGCCTCCATATTAATTTAATGCAGAAGTTTTATAATTTTTCAAGTTTTTAATAAAATGTGATCAGTTTTCATGTGGTATTTTAGGGTAATCTGAAAGATAATAATAAAGTCTAAAAGTTTGAGCATTATCCCAAGATCACATTTGGCCTTGTATAAACTTTTGTGGCCAATACATATTCATAATTCTGTAACTGAACTCTCAGTTTCATTTTCTGTGTGATCTATCAGTTGAACTGCTATAAGAAGTAGAATTTATCATACCCAAAACAATTTAATGACTTTTCATATTCCTACCCACATTAGAAATATTTCTTTTTGTACAAGCTTAAAACAGCTCCATCCCAAGTAAATGTGCTGAGTTTCCACACTGTCAATGAAGCATATTCAAGTCCATTTCCTAGGAATTACAGTGCATCATCAGCTAATGTATTTATGAAATTGCGATGAATAATGTACACTTATGTAAAATTTCATTTGATTGACATTGAACTTATTACACTACAGCATTTGTATCAAAATCCTTGAATGACTTAAAATCTATATGTAATCTATATGATTTTAAAGAGATTGGCACTTACTAAAATATTACATCATTGAAAATGCTAGGGCAAATACAGATGCAAAATATTTTAGAAAGAAAACCAAATATAGTCACATTTAGCCTGCATTATTTTATGATCTTTTAACAGAAAGATAAAGGACAATAATGTGAGAACTAAACATACTAAACATTTTGCTTTAAGAATTTTGCCAGTGAATTTTTGACTTGCTGATTTCTCAGACTGTAGATAATTGGGTTAAGCACAGGAATTATGACAGTGTAAAATAGGGAGTCCATCATATCTTGATCATCTACTTGTGGAGATGCAGGGCGCACATACATGAAGAGAAGAGGACCATAGTATAAAGACACAGACAAGAGATGGGCTCCACAGGTGGAGAAGGCTTTCCTTATGCCTTTGGCAGATTTCTTTTTTAAGACTGAAAAGAGAACAAGAGTGTAAGAGACAACAATAGTCAAAATAGTGAATACCTGAATTGAGCCAGAAAAAATAAAAACCATTAGAAAATTAAGAGAAGGGTTAGTACAGGAGATCTTAAACAAAGGAATAATGTCACAATAAAAGTGCTGTATTATGTTGGAATTACAGAAGGTTAATCTGAATAAAAAGCCTTCATGAATTAAAGCATGAATAAATCCACCTGCAAATGATGAGACCAGCAGTTGTACACAGAGTCTGTTTGTCATAACCATTGGGTAGAGTAAAGGATTGCATATGGCTGCAAAACGATCATAGGCCATTGCTGCCAAGAGAAAGCATTCTGTGGTTGCACTGATTCCAAATGAAAAGAACTGTAGCATGCACTCAGGCAGAGAGATCAGTTTGCACTTAGCAAAAAAGTTCACTAGCATCTTTGGTGTCACTGTGGATGACAACCAAGTATCCACAACAGCTAAAGTCCCAAGGAAGAAGTACATGGGGATGTGAAGGTGAGGGTCATACCAGATGAGAGTGATCAGACCAAGGTTGCCCACAATGGTGATCAGATAAATCACCAAGAACATCAGGAACAGAGGAATTTTCCACTGTGGTTGGTATGTGAGTCCTGTGAGAATAAACTCTGTCCATAGCGTTGCATTCTCCTTCCCCATGCCCTCACAAGCTGTCTCCTGAAATGAAAGACAGTGGATGTCAGACAGCAGTCACTAAGGGTTTGTAAAGTCCTGGAGTTGAAATGCTACTCTATACTTAACAGAATGACCGTTTCAGTTTTACCTATTGTAACTCTAATAGATGAAAAGCATCTTTGTGTTTGAAAAAAATTATTTCAGTTCATTTTTTTTTCCAATTTTAAAATGTGAATGTACTAAGAAATTTAAAGTAAATAAGAAACCTACTAAATATGGTGAAATTTCATTGATTTGGTAAGAAAATTCTATGCCTAAATTATAGAGTCTGAGTCAAGGGAAAAGGGAGTTAAACACTTGTATTCTAAAATGAATTTGATTTAAGTGTCTTGGTTGGTTGGAACACACTGATAAATTTTATGCAGTGAAAAATTAAAATAGGCCATTCAGTGGAAAATAGTTTAAAATTAATTCAAATATGATAATATTGTGGTTAAAAAATAAGTTTTGTGGAGGGAAACATAGAGTTAGAAATACTAGAAAGCTCTTATATCCAGGAGTTTCCAAAGCAGATTATACTTGAGAATTATCTGAGAAAATTTGTGCAAAACTGAATGAGCTACACCTATAGAAATGGATTCAGTTTTTAAATAGCCTAATGATACATCTTTTAAAAACTTCCTCAAGTGATTTTTAAATGCATGTCAGGGCTGGAAAGATGGCTCAGTGGTTAAGAGCACTGACTGGTCTTGCAGAGAACCCAGCTAAAAAACATCCATAACTTCAGTTCCAGGGGATCCGATGCTCTCTTCTGACCTCCAAGGGCATTGCACTATATGGGTGTACCTACTACATACAGGGAAGTAATACACTCATACACATAAATAAAAAATAATAAATAAAAATATTTAAACCCAACGGGCATGGTGTCTCATGCCTTTAATCCCAGCTCTTGGGAGGCAGAGGCAGGCTGATCTCTGTGAGTCCAAGGCCAGCCTGTTCTACATAGTGAGTTCCAAGACAGGTGGGGCTACAGGGACACTCTGTCTCAAAAAGACCAAAAAAAAAAAATTAAATCCATGTGAAATGATTAAAGTATGTATGATAGGACCCTGGGAGTGATTATGAAGACACTGAAATCAATTAAAGTGCAGTGATGTATGACATGTGGACTGGATGTATCTTGGAAGTGAAAAATCATTTGTTGACCATGCATATGTATTTTCAAATCCAGTGTGAGAATTTTGGAGCTTTTGTGTTTTGGTCTTTGGAAATAAACCTGCAGGAAACATATACTTAGTAGTGTGGGTGTCCTAAGGTGTGACCGCCTGGCTATCTTCCTTGTTTTCCCATTTTCCACCCGATTATTCTAAGTTAGAATTACTATGTTAGAGCCAATATCCTTAAAAAAAATTCCAGTTACAAACAAGAGTGTATGTAGCACCAAATATAATCAAAGAAAAGACACAGAAATGATAGTAAGCAGAACTACCTAGAGAGCAGAAGGCTCTGATCCTTAAGAGAGGGGAGGGACTAGGAAGGACAAGGTAAAACATCAGGGGCCAAAGCTGAGACTCTCCTGGAAGAAGTGACTAGGGATCATGCGTAGATGATAGTAAGCAGAACTACCTAGAGAGCAGAAGGCTCTGATCCTTAAGAGGGGAGGGACTAGGAAGGACAAGGTAAAACATCAGGGGCCAAAGCTAAGACTCTCCTGGAAGAAGTGACTAGGGATCATGAGTAGGGAAAATGAAGAAAATTGAAGTGACCTTGATGGAAAAGAGCTTCCTGCATATGGTAGCACTGATATTAGAAATGAGCAGGAATAAAAAGAAATAAATGGCCACACAGAGAAACGATGTCTGTGGGCTATTCCAAGAACTGTGGAGGATGCTTGGTATTTGTCCCAGGCTCCTAGACTGCTGTAATCCCTCACCTACAGAGCATGTTGAGAAAGCTTTTCATCTAAGGATAAAAATGGGAATGGCAAGAGAAGGAAGAAATTAAGAAGAGAAAAAGCACAGGAAGAGTAGCGAGGAATATTTGGATGGATATAAGAGAACAAAAGGGGAGCTGCAGGCAGAGCATACCAAAGGCTGGTAAGCACTCGGGAGGCAGAGGCAGGTGGATCCTCTGTGAGTTCAAGGCCTGCCTGGTCTACAGAGTGAGTTCCAGGCAACTGGAGCTACAGGGAGACTCTGTCTCAAAGAGACCAAAAAAAAATTATGTGTCTCTGTGTGTATGTGACAGTTATTTTTATTGTTGTTGTTTTGTTGGTTGTTTTTTGAACAGGGTCTTTCTAGTCACAGCCCACCTGGAAGTCACAATGTGAACCAGGGTCCCCTTGATCTAGCAAAGATCCACCTGCCTCTGGCTCCTGCTGGCTGAAATTAAATGTGCAGGCCACCATGCCCAACATTATTTCATTGTTATTAAAACAAGTAGAATAGAATTTCTTTCTAATTCTTGGTGGTTTTCTTTCAGAGTGCATACTTCTCTACTGACTGTTTCTGTTCTTTTTTGTTTTGTTTTGTTTTAGCAGAATAAATTGTGCCAGACTGACCCCTGTATACAGATCATATATATAATGCCAATATATCTAATTTGGTGTGACATTTATAGGAAGGAATAGTTTTCCTTCAAATCAATAAAAAAAAAACACTGATAAAAATCAAATTATAAATTGCATGGCATGTGAGGGCTTAAATAAATTTTAAAAATGTAGCGAAGTGAAGGAGAAATATTTTCCGCATTTTTCATATATGAATCTGTTTGTATTTACATAAACAAATATTAAGATATATTAAGGTGTAATACTCTTATGAACCATCTGTAACTTGAAATATGTTCTATATATTATATATAATGTAAACAAATATATATATGTCTTATCCAAGGAAATTATTGTTAAAGGTGGAGGACTTCATAGGAAGAATGAATTTTTACCTGCCCAATTTTTAAATATTTGGTCACAGAATGTGATTAAACAGAATGGCCTTTTTAAAAAATAATTAGACTAATTGCTTTATAACAATCATTATGACTTAGATCTTTAAACTGAATTCAAAATTAACATTCTAGTACATGAAAAATTGATATCATCATAAATTAAAAAGGAGGTCCTTAAAGGGATGATTCAAGCTACTCTTCTTATTCATTTTTAGCCACGAAAATAAAATATACAGACAATTCTTTGTTGTTATTGCCCCAGTTATGTTGGAATCAAAACCAAACATAAAGTCATTATGAGTTAAACAGCATTTAACTTTCTATAGAAAAGATGGTGAAAATGAGTTCATTTCTCTCTTACCCACAACTGGAAAGAAATTTTAGAGATTCTTTGAGAGTATTGCACTCTCTAAAGCTTAAAAGAGCAAAGCAGTACCAAATGCAGTAACATGGGCAGCAGTTCTTTTCACTGTGATTCATCTGGAAGTTTCATTGCCCAAGCACAGATATGGTGCTTATATGAATTGTCTTTCATCGTAATACTCAATCAATTATACTCCTGCATGCTCTGTATAGAAGGGCTGGAAAACTGAAATTCCCATAAGAACCCAAGGTTTCTCTGGAGGAGAAGGTCAGATCACTCTACTGGGCACTAAAGATTTGGACATGTGTGAGAATTTCAAATGGTCCCATAGGACATCACAGGCTTTAAAATTGCAAATATCCATTTGCTGTGAAAGATCTAATACTAGCAATTGAAATTATGCTTTATGTCACTACTTTCCATCACAGATAGACAAGCTTTATGTATAAGATTTCTTGTACTCTGTAGCTTGGGAGATAGCTCAATTTGTCTTGTGCTTGCCTAGCATTCACAAAGAACTGCATTCAATCTCCAGTACCAGAGAAAACCAGATGTAGTGGTATGCACATGTAAGCACAGCACTTAGTACATGGAAGAAGGATCAGAAGTTCAGTGTTATCCTCTTTAGTATAGTGAGTTTTGGGCCAGCCTTGTGTACATGAGACTTGTCTCTAAAAATTTTGGTCTGAAGGCTTTTATTAAGACAGCTTTTTCTGAGCTAATCAAAACATGCCTTAACATGGTCAATAATGTAGACCCCAGTTTATTAAATGGTTGTTATCCATATGAAGCTATAAATTCTTTGATATCTATAAATGTTCCTAAATGTATAACAAATAAAATTTCAATTCATAATTAAATACATAATGAATCTGAGGTGTTTCTGGTGGCATTGACCATGTTACATTTGAATTTCACTTCTGCCTGGCTCTGAGTACTAAACATGTTCACCTTGCTATGCATTCCTTTGCATCATGAAAGTCCAATGAATATTGTCTGTATCAACTGATTCAGATCCCCACCTGTTAGATACTATGAAGTACAAAAATTTTAACATACACAAAGTTTCTGAACCTATAAAATAATAATGTTTTGATTATAACAAACAATGGCTTTTAATATTTTCCTGTCAGTCACCAGCATGTATCAAATTAGTATATCCTTAGATTTTGTATTAGACATTTTATTTTACAAATTAAGTTGGCTAGGCATTAAGATAGAATTTCCAATGATTTCTGAAATAACCATTAACATTTTTCTCCAGTTTTGTACTACATATTTATGCAAAGTGGCACTCTCAGCATTGACTATTACATAATCAAAATCAATCGACTTCAAAAGTGTTGAAATTAGTGCTGCTGTACCAAATAATCAACACATTTATCTCATTATGCAGTTTTGCTTTAGTCTTTAATAAATGGTAAAAATGAGCTTTTGAGAACAATGGAGATTCTCTCATTTCAGGTTGGTTTAACTCAGGGGCTAGGGTAGGGAAGCTCACTGTCATGGTCACCAAAGACTCCATCAACTGAATCAGTGGTTCAAGGACTATTATCACAAGAACTCAAAGGATGGGTTTTGTGGCCAATAAAGTGTGAGTATAAGAAGTTTTATTACAGAGAGAAAATATAAAGAAGGAGGATTTAGTGCAGAGTAAAAGCAAGCAAAGGTCTTCAGTAGCAGCACTCCCAAGAGCATGTTGCTGTTGAAG